AGGTGGCATTTAAGAATTCTCTGACGGGTCGACTGAAATAGGGTGATGCACCGTCATGCATAAACCACATTCTTTGTCATATAGGCAATAGCATATTCTCTAGGAGTCTTGAATTTTCTAGGAAATCGCGATAAGCTTCACCATTTAATCTTGCTGCTAAAAAATACGGCCTAATCAAGTAGTCGCCGATAATTCCTACCTAAACATTCAGGATAAATTGCTGCTGATGCCGAGATTGCACAATACCGTGAGGATTTTCTTCTGCCCAAAGGTGATTGTTGTGAAAATTAATTATTCCATCCCTGTTAAAACCAGCTTCATCCGTAAAAAAGTAAAGAACCATGAAAGAAGGAGGGCGTACTAGGTGGCGACGGGACGCCGTGCGTTCGGGACCTGCATCTTATTTTTCGTTCCGAGGAGAGAAAAATATCGAGAGCGCGGTAGTCGCTAGCCGGAAATCGAACCCGGGTCTTTCGCTTGCCGGGCGATTGCTCTAAACCACTGAGCTACCTGACGCTCCACGCTCACGACACTCTCCTCTCCCTAGATAACGTTAAGAGATGTCGTTCGGAAGCGACATCTCTAGTGCTATCCCGAGCGCACGGCGACTACAGAGAGAGGCATTGTTACTTGTACCTAGTGGTACAAGCTGGTGATCTCTCAAAGTCAAAGGTTGCTATCCTTTAAGACCTGCTGCTGTCCAGGTATGCCGGTCTCCACCGTTGCCCTTCCTTATCCGGTGCAAATCATATAAATAAGCCCCAGGGTCGACGCCATATTTTGGCTGCCTCCGGGCGCTTAGATACGTTTTTGCAACGCGCCGAAGGGGGATCCACCATGAAAGAAGGAGGGCGTACTAAGTGGCGACGGGATGCCGTAAAAAGTAAAGAAGAATCAAAAACTGGATTCACACACTGCTGTAAAAACCATTGAGAAAACACCAATTTTGCTGGAAAATCTGCTGGAGAGAGTCTCTGGACTCTCTGCAAATGATATGGATAAAGTAGCTGTTCATGCAGAACTCTCCATACAGTAATGTGAGATACATGTTCTACTGCTGCAATTTTTCTTGTACTGATGCTGGGTTCTTGTTGTCAACTAGAGACGTGCAAATCGCGCTTTCACTCCCGCCCGATCCTGCTCATAAGGTGCAGTCTCGAGAATCATGCTCACGGGACTAAGTGCTCCCGGGAATACGAAGCTCGAGACGGCGCACAGTGGGTCGAAGTATAGCAAAACCCGGACATCTAAATGTAATAAGTCCACGCATTCTTTCTCAATTTGCAACTTTTCAATATTTGTATTGTATTTTTATTGTTATTTTAATTGTTTTTGTATTTTACCATTTCTTTATTATCTTTTTGTAATTTTTATTTATTATTTTTTTTCATTTTTGCTAGTTTTATTGTTTTTTTTGTATTTTTTATTATTATTTTTTGTTATTATTATTATTTTGTTATATAATTATTATCAATATATTATATATATTTTTATAAATCAAAATTATCCTCTGAGTCACTATCAATATCGAATTCTATGGGAATATCGCTATCTCTGGAGGATATTAACAAATCAGTGACTTCAGGAAAGAAACATTAGACATTAACGACAGTTCTAGCTATAGCTACTTGTCGCTAAACGGACGGAACTTTACGTAATATACCAGGCTTGTAAATATGAAACCAGAATTTACCCATAGATGGCCCTAGCTGTCAACGTAGTTACCGTCAAACCGCGTCATTGGTGCTATTTCCATTTATTGACATCTGACAAAGATTTTCAACTCACAACAATACAAGTTTCATACAACAGCATAGTTTGTAATAGCGTTGAACATGTCGAATTTTGTGCCTGGAAGCTATGATTTGCGGACAGCGTTGATTTTCTGTTACCATTTGAAGAAAACTGCTGCAGAATCGCATCGAATGCTTGTCGAAGCTTACGGTGAGCATGCTCTTGGTAAATCACAGTGCTTTGAATGGTTTAAAAAATTCAAATGTGGCGATTTTGACGTGAGAAACGAAGAACGTGGAAGACCACCGAAAAAGTTTGGAGACAGCGAATTGCAAGCATTGTTGGATGAGGATGACGCTCAAACGCAACAACAACTCGCGGATCAATTAAATGTGACACGAGAAGTCGTCTCCATACGTTTGAAAGCCATGGGAAAGATCCAGAAGATGGGAAAATAGGTTCCGCATGAACTGAATGAAAGACAGCAGGAAAACCGAAAAACCACTTGCGAAATGCTGCTCGCCAGATACAAAAGAAAGTCATTTCTCCATCGAATTGTGACTGGCGATGAAAAGTGGATATATTTTGAGAATCCTAAGCGTAAAAGATCATGGGTAACTCCAGGCGAACCATCGAAATCGACTGCAAGCCAAATCGCTATGGACGGAAGACAATGCTCTGTATTTGGTGGGATCAGAAGGGTGTGATATATTATGAGCTGCTAAAACCTATCGAAACCGTTCATATTGAACGCTACCGACAACAAATGATCGATTTGAATCAAGCTTTGCGTGAAAAACGACCAGAATATCAAAAAGGTAACACAAAGTGATTTTGCTTTATGATAATGCATCATCACACACAGCAAAACTGGTCAAGGAAACGATTGAGGCGTTTAGTTGGGAAATACTTTCGCATGCGGCTTACTCACCAGACTTGGCTCCGTCCGATTACTACTTATTTGCATCGATGGGACACGCACTTGCTGAGCAGCGCTTCACTTCTTACGAAAATGTACGAAAATGGCTCGATGACTGGTTTGCCTCAAAAGAGCAACAGTTTTTTTGGCGTGGCATCCACAAATTGTCAGACAGGTGGTAAAAATGTATAGCTAGCGATGGGCAAGACTTCGAATAATTTTTATCATTTTCATACAATAAACGTGTATTTTCTATACAAAAATTCCGGTTTCATATTTACATACCTGGTAATTTGGACTCTATCAAGTATAAGTTAATTTATTTGAATGAAAACTCGTTTTTTAAGTAGATTCATGTTCAAGATAAAATTTTATTCTGAACAATGTCAAAGAGATTTTAAGCTCGAGATCCAGTTAGACCTAAGTCAATTTTTTGTGCAATGACAATTCTAATTGATTGAATATTTTATTATAAAAACCTCGAGAACTTTGAAATGATTGGCCCAAAGTGGCTAAAAGAGTAATGGCAAATTTCGTCCATTTTTTGGATCTCGAATTTCAAACTTTTTTTCATGGCAAATAATACTATTAAATGAAATATTAATCCCAGTAAAATTTCAAGATAAGCATAGGCATGGTTCTGGAGATACAAAGGGGTGAAAATGATAATTTCCAGTCAGGGTACATTACATATTGCATTGCATATTGCATAAAGAAGAATGCGTAGCTGAAGTTCACGTAATATTAAGGATATTTTCTGTCGAATGGATCTACGATTCGTTGGTCAGAGAATGAACGATCAACTATTCACCGCTGTTTCATTTAGGGGAGGGGAAGAGTGCTTTATAAAGAATCCTGAATGCAGCCTGAGCATCCTGAAAATACGTTCCCTATTAATCACTGACCAAGTTTTTGAAGCAATTCAATTACTGAGGAAATACTCAAATTGAAAGATAGAGTCTCGCTACATGACGCACTCACAAGTTCTCTTGTAGTTGAAATACTTTATTATTATATGAAGTATATTCCACAGATTGTGTGAACAAACAATCTTATGTATTCGCATATCGGAAATCATCATTATATTTTCGACAAGTCTAATTGGAGTCTTTTTTACAGTTTGTCTCGCTCAAGGCTATAATATTCTCAATCGATTTTTCGTTTATTCTGATGTTATTTGTTTCTTTGTTGTCCATTTTCGTGTTTGTTGATTGTTGAAATGAGTTTCTCGCTACTTTTCTTTTGTTTCATCCCAACTTTTTCTACATTCTCTTGTCTCTTCAGGTATATTTTTTCATATCTTGACAATCGTTGATTCTTTAATAAAAAAATGCCTTTCACTAAATATTTAGGCTGTAATGATCAAAAAAGATCGAAAAATGATGTTTTTTCCTATCGAAGATATATCAAATTTGTTGATGACGGTTAACAATTTGCGGAAAAAATAATCCGAAGGAACGAAAATTAGAAGAATTGAACCACATTTCATCACAGAGCAAAATATGCAGAAACTGTTACCAACATAGTAATCAATCAAAAATCATCTCAAGATCCTAGGCGGATGATGATCCAGATACACCTGATCTCTCGATTTATTATCAAGGTATTAATTTTCATTCACGATGCACATTGAAAAAGCTCAATCTGTAAGAGACAAGGTGACTCACAGTAGAAAAGCATCTTGATTCGTGAGAGACGGTGTCAAATGTCACTTCAACTCCATCTGTCTGGGGGAATATTCATGCTAGACGAAAACTAAGATCATATTTGAATCCGGCGTAAAAAAATCCATAAGAAACGATATGTTTCACTTTATTATATATGTTTTATTCCTTGATATGGACACTTGAAGAGTTTCTTATACTTGCATGGATTATGAAAAACCATCACTTTCATCCTTTCATATCTCCGGAATCCTGCTAATGCTCATTTTAAAATTTCATTAGGATTAATGTTCCATCATATAGTACTACTTGGCATAAAAAAAAGTTTGAAATTCGAGGTCCAAAAAATGGACGAAGAAACAGGTATTTTTGCCATCACTCTTTTTGGTACGTTTTGAAAAGATCTCAAGAAGGGATGTAAGAATATGCAATAAAAAAGAGGGTCACATTTAAACAATTCAAGGTAATCTTACTTTAAACAATTCAAGGTAATCTTATTTTGACTTTGGTGACGTCACCCAAGGTTAAATTGCTACGATTAGTGAATAAATATTTTTAAACCTTATAATTTTTATCTAGAACATTTTTTTTCGATAAAATGTTTTACGAGATATCCCGGAATATGAAATTTGTTTTATATATTCTGTATGTGTATTTGTTGGAATTAATTTGATTAAACTTACCATTAATGATAAAGCACATTTTTAAAATTTCCGGGTAATTCGCCTCGTACATTTGAATAAGTATAAGGACCAATTCACCAGCTGAAAGATACAAATATATAAATAAGTATTTAGTAAGTTGGTAATAATAAAGAACAACCTCTATAAATATATGAATAAAAAATGTCATTTATATTATATAAAATAATAATTCTTTAAATATATTTTATTCGATTACAATACTTTAAATACAATTTACCTGGTTTCCACATGTATTGTTTCAAGTTAAATCCATCCATATCAAAAATAACTGTTAGTTGATTAGCGATTTGCCCATGTTGTTTAGCTTGTTCTCTGGCTAATTTTAAATAGTCATCCAAAACTTTTATAGTAGATTTAATGAATTCCTTCTGTGTTACTACATGTAATATTCCATACATGTCTAAGCCGGCAAACGGTACGATGATGACTACAAAAGTATTCACATGTTTTATATACATATTTCTACGTTTTTTCAATTTACATCGCAAATACAAAAAAAGGTAAACGTCCTAATGGCCAAATATGTCCCTGTATCCAACCACTTTCGACCGAAAAAAAGATTTAATATTTATTTTAACAATAATGAATGAAAATAATAATTATTGTAAAAAAAACTCTAATATTTGACGATTAGTTGGAAAAAATATACCTAATCTAATACCTTCATATTAAAATAAAAATTAATAAAACAAGTATGCATCTATGATTTGGCAAAATAATGGTCAATTATTAAATTCATTAAGAGGTAGCATCTACAGGGTGTCTTAGAACTAATGTTGTAGAGCTCGTGGAGACATAGAACAGGTTAAGATAAATATAAAAGTCCATACCGTTTTATGAGATTTGCAATAGTTATCGAGTTATTAATGACAGAAATCTGAGGAATGAGCACGCGCCGAGACGATATGGGAGGAGCATCAAGCCGCTCAGGCTAGAACGCTACCCACTCGATCTAGGAACTGTTGCCGGCGCGTGGCGAGGAGAAGCACAACGCGCTGATGCTCATGTTCTTTCCTCACCCCTCCTACGTCCCGCCGCACCGCGTCTATAAGCTCCCGCCAATATAGCCGCTGAATATTCGCGATTAGAATTACGAGATTATTATATGAGGTATCACAGATAGCTCATATTGGACTGTAAAGTTCAAGGTTCAAGAGTTCTTTGATCAAGGAAAACATCGAAAAAAAGAAAGCGATAGAGAGCGATTAGATCTACAGAGATTCTCATTGATTTCTATTGCAATCTATTGTTTCGTTGCATCGGATTCGAAAGAAATGATGTCGCGTAAAGATAAAGTATGATTTTTTCATCGTACTTTATTATACTCTATCGTTAGAAGAATATTTAATTATTAGAGTATGATATTTAGAATTGGCATAAAGACTCATCGTGTCCTATGGTTTTATTCAAGTCTACACGGAGAAAAATGTTTAGTTGAATGAACCAATTTTCTGGCGAAATGAGAGAAAAACAGAGAGAGAGAGAGAGAGAGAGAGAGAGAGAGAAAGAGAGAGTGAGTGATTAAGAAATTTTGATTGAATATACCACAATTTTCTTTAAGTTAACCATAAAGCTTGATAAATTAGACTGAGTGTTAATATTTTCAGTCGGTATTTCTCTGTATCGTTCATATTTCATTTGCAAGCTGTATCATGGATCGAACATTTTTACCATGAATCATGAATCATAAATTGTTGTCATAATCAGTGGTATATTAACAATAGAAGAAACTCAAAGTTCTCTATCGTATAATTGCAAAGGGAGAACCATCGTTGCCAATGGTGCACCAACGATATTTGGCATAAAATTGATTCCTAGGTATAATTGCGATACAATGCATATCCGAGTATGTTATTTTGACACGCATAAGTATGTGATTGATTGAAGCTTTTTTTGCACGTTTCTTACCGTTGAATCGTCGTGTCATTTGATTCATGTAGACATCATTTAACGCGTTTAAACATAACAAATGACACGATTCAAGGACAAGAAACATGCAAAAGAAGCTTCAATCAATCGCGTACTTATGCGTGTCAAAATAACATATTCGGATATGCATTGTATCGCAATTATACCTAGGAATCAATTTTATATCAAGTATCATTGGTGCACCATTGGCAACGATGGTCCTTCTTTCGCAATTATACGATAGAGAACTTTGAGTTTCTTCTATCGTTAATATACCACTGATCACGACAACAATTTGTTCATGATACATAGTAAAAATGTTTGGTTCATGATACAGCTTGGAAATAAAATATGAACGATACAGAGAAATACCGACTGAAAATATTAATACTCAGTCTAATTTATCAAGGTTTATGGTTAACTTAAAGAAAATTTTGATATTTTCAATCAAAATTTCTTAATTGCTCTCTCTCTCTCTCTCTCTCTCTCTCTCTCTCTCTCTCTCTCTCTCTCTCTCTCTCTCTCCCTCTCCCTCTCCCTCTCCCTCTCCCTCTCCCTCTCCCTCTCCCTCGCCCTCTCCCTCTCCCTCTCCATATCCCTCTCCCTCTCCCTCTCCCTCTCCCTCTCCCTCTCCCTCTCCCTCTCCCACTCCCTCCCTCTCTCTCTCTCTCTCTCTCTCTCTCTCTCTCTCTCTCTCTCTCTCTCTCTCTCTCTCTCTCTCGTCTTTCTCTCATTTCGCCAGAAAATTGGTTCATTCAACTAAACATTTTTCTCCGTGTAGACTTGAATAAAACGATAGGATGATTCTCTACGCGAATTCTAAATATCATACTCTAATAATTAAATATTCTTCTAACGATAGAGTATAATAAAGTACGATGAAAAAATCATACTTTATCTTTACGCGACATCATTTCTTTCGAATCCGATGCAACGAAACAATAGATTGCAATAGAAATCAATGAGAATCTCTGTAGATCTAATCGCTCTCTATCGCTTTCTTTTTTTCGATGTTTTCCTTGATCAAAGAACTCTTGAACCTTGAACTTTACAGTCCAATATGAGCTATCTGTGATACCTCATATAATAATCTCGTAAATGTAATCGCGAATATTCAGCGGCCATATCGGCGCGAGCTTATAGACGCGGTGCGGCGGGACGTAGGAGTGGCGAGGTAAGGATATGAGCATCGGCGCGTTGTGCTTCTTCTCGCCACGCGTCGGCAAAAGTTCCTAGGTCGACTGGACAACGCACTAGCCTGAGCAGCTCGATGCTCCTCCCATACTGTCTTAGCGCGCGCTCATTCCTCAGATTTCTGTCATTAATAACTCGATAATTATTGCGAATCTCACAGAACGGTATTGGACTTTTATATTTGTCTTAACCCGCTCTATGTCTCCACGAGCTCTCCAACATTAGTTATAAGACACCTTGTATATTTATATTATTTCCCGTTAGCATATACTAATTTCCTAATTGCATTCAGATATTGAAACAAATTATCACCGAACCTTAAGCCATAACCTATTTCAACTGTCCGGTCACACTGATACATTAATGCGTTTCATTACTTATGTAAATATTTCATTAATAATAAATGTATTAGATGTGTGAATTAATTCGGTTCATCTGGCGGTCAATTGCTATACTATGTAATTTTCTAACCTCTAATGTCTGCAAAAGGCTTTATTTTTTAGTTTTGATATCTGACAATAACATTCAGTTGATAAACGTTTGGGTTTGTAAGAATAACATCGTGTTTATCTGATTTGGAAATGTCAAAATTCGAGCCAAAAAAGCATCATTTCCGGGAAATTCTCATTTTCTGTTTTCATTTGAAGCCGCTGAAGCGGCTGAAAACAGCCTCTGAAGCTCATCGAATGCTCGTAGAAGCTTATGGTAAAAGTGCTCCCATCGGTAAATCACGCAGAGAATGGTTTTGACGTTTCAAAAGTGGTGATTTCAGTGTCGATGATAAACCTCGTCCAGGTCAGCCAAAGAAGTTCGAAGACGAGGAATTGCAGGCGCTAATCGATGAAGATCTGTGTCAATCGCAACATGAGCTCGTGCAATTGTTGAATGTTGATCGATCAATAATTTCTGTGCGTTTGGCAGCCATGGGAAAGATTTACAAAGAAGGAAAATGGGTGCCATACGAACTGAAAGAAAGAGACATCGAGAGGCGAAAAGCCATGTCTAAAATCTTGCTTGCCAGGCAGAAAAGAAAAAGCTTTTTGCATCGTATTGTGACTGGAAATGAAAAGTGGATATATTTCGATAATCCCAAACGAAGGAAATCCATTAGCGACCCGGGAAAATCATCCACATCGATACCAAAGCGAAATATTCACGGCAAGAAAGTAATGCTCTGTATATGTGGGACCAGAAGGGTGTAGTGTATCATGAACTATTAAAACAGAGCCAAACCATCACTGCCGAACTTTATTAATAACATTTGACCGTTTAAACAACGCATTGAAGAATAAGCGGCTGAAATATGCAAAGAGACACGATAAAGTGATCTTCCAGCACGATAACGCTCGGCCACATGTTGCAAAGATTTTGAAGGCCATCTTGGAAGCACTTGGCTGGGACGTTTTACCTCACCCGCCGTATTCACCAGACATTGCTCCATCCGATTATTACTTGTTCAGATCGATGGCACACAGGCCTTTGGACCAGCATTTCAACAATTATGAAGAAATAGAGAAATGGCTTAATGAATGGACCGCTTCGAAGGACGAGTCATTTTTTCGTCATGGAATCCAACAACTGCCAGAAAGATGGGAAAAAATAGTAGTAAGCGATGGCAAATACTTCGATTAGTATACTTTTTTATGTTTTTTCATGCTATATTCATGCTATATTCATGTCTTTTTTGGAAGAAAAAAACGGACCGAATTAATTCACACACCTAATATTATGACACCGATTCCTGTATACAGGGTGTCCCATTTTAATGTCCCACCTCAAATAACTCTTCAGTATTGAAGTTTCAAGGAAAATGATCTGAATAAAAGTTGTAGGCATTTAAGGCAGGATACCACCTTTGCACTTTAAAAAAATTGAAAATTTTTTTTTTGTTCTTAAAGTACTCTTTCAAGTGTATAGAATCGAAATTCATTCATTAGAAAGGTGGCCGAAACCTTTTTCTTGTGTAAAAACCGGTTTGGAGCAGAGCGCTCTCGGCGCGTTTCTCGGGCTGCCGAGCGCGCGCACACTATCTGTCTCATATACAATTTACCGACTACATTACGGGCCCTTTTAGTTCCAAATAGTGAAATAGTGATAGTAATAGATGTAGCTAGTTAGGATTTTCACTATAATATAACATAGATACTTCTATATTTTATATAGTTCATAACGAATTGGTCGTGTAAACATCATTCACGTGTTGCTTGGTTGTGTAACGTCTTTCACGTGTTTCTTTCGAATGTTTATGCATTGTTCATCATGGGGAAGACAAAAGTAGAGGAAAGAAAAGGGACAAAAGCAGAAAATAGGCGTGCCTCGAAACCG